AGTTGATTCAGAGGGCCTTGTTCTCCCAGTGTCCTCCATCCCCTCTTACACTCTTCTGCATGGTTCCCTTAGCTCTGAGGGGAGGAATTTGTCGGAGACATCTCATTTAGGGCTGTGTGTTACAAGGTGTGTGTGTGTGTGTGTGTGTGTGTGTGTGTGTGTGTGTGTGTGTGTGTGAGTGAGATGTCTGGCTGTGGCTCTCTTATTTGTTCCCATCTGCTGCAGGAAGCCTCTCTGATGATGGCTGAATAAGGCACTGATCTGTGAATATACCAGGGTATCTTTAGGAGTCATTTATTATTTTTTTGTTTTTTTTTTTATTTTGACCAACAGTGTTTGATTTTTTTCACCCTAGTTCTCTGGGCTATTTTCTCTGGATCTTGGTCACCTAAACAGCGTTGGGTATGGGTTCCATCTCATGGAGTGGGTCTTAAGTCAAATCAGACATTGTTTGGCTACTCCCACTCGTTCTGTGTCTTCATTGCCCTAGCATATCTTGCAGGCAGGACAGATTATAGATCAAAGATTTTGTGGTTGGGTTGGTGTTGATGTTTCTCTTTTGGTAGCCTGCCTAGTACCTTCTTGCACCAAAGATACTAGAATGAAGGAGTGAAGGCTCCAGATGGACTCAAATTCTCCGTGTTCAGAATGAGTTGTGTGGATGTTGTCCTCAGCAGTGGGGCCCACTGTCGGTTTGCAGAGCACAACTCATTGTCATAGCAAAAGCCTCAGTTTGGGAATTTTCCATGGGTCCCCCATGGCCAACAACTCAATTGAATGCAACCCAGTCTCTCTACTGGAAGAATCATTTGGTGGAAAGAGATGGCCATTTGGGGTTTCAGGTAAAATGTGTTTCTGGTATTGGGAGCTGATACCGAGGAGTGTGGATATGCTATGGTCCTGAGGGGGTTCACAAGAGAGAGTAGAACAGTGTTCAATAAGGACATACTTATTTCATCTGCTGGGAATGGAGAGAGACAGTGAAGAGAGGTCACCACAGATATCCTGCTATAGTGCTGGGGATGAGACTCCTGGGTTGGATCTAGGGGAATGGAAGGAGAGGGGAAGATCTACAGGCAGTCCACCTACTTTCTTGGCAGGTGTGGTCAGTAGCTTAGCAGAGAGTGTCTGCTGGGGTTGGAGGCTGGGACATAGCAACAAGTGTGGAAGGGAGGTTAGGAGCGGAAGGTCTGTGGGATCCACAGGAGATGTGGGCAGACGGGGAAGGAAGGCTACAGCAGGTGTTGTGTTGTGGAGTGAGGGGTGAGACAGACAGGGTATTGGATCTGAGGAACAGAGGGGGAAGGAAGGATCTGTAGGCAGTCTATCAGGGTTTCTGGTTAGCAGGGGTGCCTGCTGGATTTGGAGTCTGGGATAAAGCAACAGATGTGGGGGGTGAGGTTAAAAGGGGAAGATCTGTGGGATCCACAGGAGATGGGAGCAGGGAAGGCTACCACAGGTGTTCTTTACCTTTTATTTTTAAGGCAAATAACATTAGCTGAAGTAGTGCACTAAACCTTTTTTCCATTTTTGTCTCTAAGCTACTCATGTCCCATCTGTTCCAATTTTCTGTTTCCTATTCCTCCCTTGAGAACCTCATTCCAAATGTTTTCTTCTATCTTACCCTTTCTATAATTCACAATCCTTCTGCAGCATTCCTTTTCTCTCAGTTTAGGTTGATTTCTGTTCTCAGTGCTTCTCTATCCTTCCTGTGATAATTTATATATGAGGTCAGTTAATGTTAGCCTCAGTCCTCCTTCAGGATAGCCATTTTGGGCAAGGATGTGCAAACTGGGATTTTATAGCAACCCAACATGACTGGATGTGTCTGATTCTTCCTTAGTCCACCCAAGAAACTGTCATTCAAATTTAAATAAACAACAGAATCAGTTAAAATATTTAATTGTTGGGGAACATCTAATACAATTTGATTAAATGTAGCAAGTTCAGACCATTGAGCTGTACATGTGGGAAGGGTACAGTCTTTTTTGTGGAGCATGTGGAAATTTGTATATGTAACATGTGTTCATTGTCCTCTTAAAGAGACATCTGTAAAAACATTAAAGTAATCTCTGTAAGATTTTTTTAATGTAATGTTAGATAATACTCATAGGGTATCTTCAAAAAATATTAATAGGGGATCTTTTGGATAGTGATTGTCTAATGAGCCCAAGTAGCATGCTAATGCAACCCACCAGTTATCAGTGTGGAACAAATAATCAACCTGCATTTTATTTAGTGGCACACTGATTTCTGTGGGTTCTTTACCACAGATGTGTCCTTCCCATCATTATTAAGTCTATAAGTTCTTGTAAATAAGGAGTTATAGATTATTGCATAGAATTATGACATGACTGAATTTTTTTAAAACCATTACCATGTTGATGTGTAATTCCAGCTGCAGATGAAGACAAGGAAGGATAGGTAGTTAATAAAGAAGTAAGGGATTAATTCAGAGTTATTGCTTCAGCCGCAGCTTTAATAAGCTAATCATCCACTCTGGTTCAGGTGTGACACTTCTAGAATTGACCCAGGAGTCTCCAGCAGGTAACTTCAAGAGCAGAGCTAAATCCTCCGTAGTGATAGACAGATAGGAGGTATACCCAAATGGGCTAGAGAAATGGCTCAGCAGTTAAGAGCACTGCTGCTTTTCCTGAGTTCCTGCGTTCAATTCCCAGCAACCACATGGTGGCTTACAACCATCCATAATAAGATATGGTGCACTCTTCTGGCCTGCAGGCAGACATACAGGCAGAGCACTATGTATCTAAAAGATAAATAAATCTTAAAAAAATAAGCGAATGCAAAAAAAAGTATACTCAATTGACATGATTCCAAAATTTAAATTTTTCTTTTAGTTTATTGACTTTGAAAGTCACGCACTCATTTAAGTCTTTATTAGATGAATAAGAGAAGAGAATGTCATCCATATAATAAATCACTAATACCTCAGGAAATTTAATCAGCATTGGCTTAAGTGTTCTATGTCCTAGTTACAATTGTTCCTACACTAGAGATTGGGCCTGTTTTGATTTCTCCCAATGAAGGGACCATTAATCAATCTAAATTGAGTTATTTCTGATGTGAGGGAAAAACAAATGCCAAAAAACTAAGTTCTGGGGCAGCCAAGCTAGCTCATGCTGCAGCAGCAGAGCCCCGCTCATCGTTCCTTGGAATTGATGTATTGCCTCAGATGCCTTTCTTTGTTCTAAACGAGGCCAGACCCCAGCCCTGGAAAAGACAGTAGGGCTGGAGGGCTTTGAGTTCCACTCAGTGTAGCTGGCCTGGAGGATGAGTAGGATGAGTAGTCGTAGAATCCATTTGGCCAGCCCTACCAAGATGTGTCAGGCAGAAATTTTTTTCTCTCATTTATTTATTTATTTTTCATTCATTCATTCATTTATTTATTTATTTATTTTCAATAATTGGCAGGGATTTTATCTCCCCTTTTTAGGGGCTCTCTTTACATTAGTTCCTGTGCATACAAAATTGCAGAGCTGTAGCTCTGAATATATTGCTTTTCTGGATCTTAACAAACATTTCAATAATTGTACAAAGTGCATTCTTGCAAAGCAGTGAGAAGAACCCATGTTAATTCCATTCTCTCACTTATGGTTGCCAGCCATTGGGCAAGAGGCTGAGTTTCCTGAAACCCTAATTTATGTTCAAAGAAAACTTTTATCTTTTCTAAGAACTGCACTTCTCTCTTTGATATTTGTGATTGTCCTGTGACCATGTGACTGTTTCCATATGTACTTTTGGGGAAAATGTCAGTATTTTGCTGCTGGGACTTGCATCGATTCTGCTGATGGCTGTTAGTAACATAATCATTTATACCAGTCCTTTGTCAGTCAGAGTGTCTGTCCGTCCATTTCCTTGTATACTTTTATTTTTTCATTTTTTTCCCTGAGTGCCTTCAAAATTCCCTTATAGAAGTAAAGTCATCATTATTTTGGCTTATTCCTAGATCTTTCTTAAGCAACCTGAATGGGTCAAATTCCTAATTTACTTCTCAAATTGTCATAGATTTGTAGGAAACTAGTCATCTTGTGTGTTAGTTTTGTATTTTTCAATAATAACTAAAACACTTGTCAAGTCTTAGAGTTTCCCATGGCGTCTGTGAAGAGTTTTGTGTGTGACTTTATCATCATTAAAGAGGAGTTTGGTGCCTTTCTTTCCTACCTGTATCTCCTCTTTATCCTTTGTTTTATTCAGATTTCTCTAGCTCACTCTTATGCCTCTGGATTAAATCGGACTGGAGAACACATGCATCTTCCTCTCCTTCTAGTTTTCCTGCAAATGCTGTTCATTATATCTCGGCACCGTATGGTTCGCCTCTGTGTGGCACATGTGCCCTTTACTGTGTTCGGCTGTGTTTCCTTTCTTCCTAGTTCCTTTAGGAGTTCATCACAGAATCTTGTTGGACTTTGTCTTAGACGTTTCCATTTCTTTTGAGATTTTCATCTCACAGGGCTTTTATTTCTGATAATGACGTTTTAAAAAATATTCTGTTTGGTAAAATTACTGATAGTATTTTTCTTCCCTCCAGTTAAAAATAGTGGATTGTTGTTTTTGTGAGTTGGGTATGGTATCTCACCCCCAGCTCTCCTCTGTTCTTCTATTCTTTATGTAAAATGTTCTTATTACCTGTGTTATCGTGGATAATTTTCTCAGATTTTTATATGTATAATTTACCTCCAATTATGATCTTTAGTGCTGCTTGAGTGCATGGCCTTTGTTATTTCATAACTTCCTTCAAATGCACGTCCTTCTTCAAGAATTTTAAGAGCTTACATTTCTGGGTGCAATGATAGTGTTCATAGTTTTTTTTTCATCACTATAAATATGTCTTCACATGCTCTCCTCTCTATAGAAATGTTGACAATACCTCTGGCATCATTTTCATTTGGGGGTTTTGTTATATAGTTTAGCATTGTCTGTAACAGGGTTGTATTAATTTTAGCTTTTCATTTTTTGACACCTTGATGTGAAATGTCAAGAAGAGTTCCAGTCTTTGTTCCTAAGACAGAAACTCAGAGAAGAGCAACAGGGAAAATGGATGCTTCTCCAATAAATGTTCCCCAGGTCAGTGTCATGTCCACATTTCTTTGGAAATTTTTTTAAAATCAAAACCATGCAAGCCTTTAATTCCCTGCCTCTGGTAAAGCTCTCTAAAGTGTTTATTTCCTATCATTTTTTTCTTTTTTTCCTTCTGATAATTAACATTAAACCTTTTAAATTTTTCTCCTACAAAGCTCAGCCTTGTTCTGTTTTATTACTGTGAGGAAATATATTTTCCATTCATTTAAGACCTGCAATTCTGAAAGATTCCATTGTGAATGATGATCAAAGAAATATATTGATGCCCAGTTCCTACAGAGGATGGACTTGGGTCTTTTAGTGAGGAATGAAGGTCTCATGTGCCACATAGGTTTCATTTCAGGGATGATAAGGTTTCCAGACCATATTATGAAAGTGGTCATGGAAACACATGACTTTTGGTTTACATCACTGGGCTATTTATGGAAAAGTAGAAATAGAAGAGACTCAGAGTCTTGAATCCTAGTAGTAACTATTTCAGTACTTTAGAGAGTACAGATGATGGAAGGAGTATGTGGTTTGCTCTTGCTATAAAACTGATGTTTCTGAGAGGAGATTTAGATTGCAGTACAGTGGATTATTTCTTTGCTGTCTGATATCACACAGTGATGATGGATGTGTTGACACCTGAAATCTGTCTGTCTAAGGATTCTGATAACAAAATAAACTCAGTGTGAAGTTCTCAATAGACAGATCAGTATTTTCTCTTTGTCTTTTGTTTTAGTTTTCAGCCAAGGTGTAAGCAGTCCTGTCCTGACCTCTATATTGCATTATGTGGAATATATTAGTAAGAATTTTCTAGAGTTATTGACTCAGTTCTGTGAATAAGCCATCAATTTTCAAGAGTAAATGAGTGTTCCTCTTAATTACTTTGCTCTCTTCTTTGGGCAGAGGAAGGCTCCCCCCAACCCTGTATGTTTCCTTGCCCTGAAGCTATGTATTTTTATGATCAAACCAAGCTAGTGGGTGTAGATGTATCCAACCTTCTTATTAAATAAGAAACACAGAACCAATGCAAAGAAGAAAGCCAAGAGGTCAGAGCTAAGAGCTAAAACCTTACCCTTCCTCCTGCGGTGGTCCTACCTCTCCGAACCAGAGCTACCCCTGTGTTAAAGTCTTTATATAGAGTTCCTGTCCTGCCTTCTCATTGGTTGTAAACCCAACCACATGACCGCCTCCTCACAGCCTGCCTGTATAGGCCTCCAGGTTTTCCATGATTGGTATTAAGATTAAAGGCATGTGTATCCAATAATGGCTGTATCCCTGAACACACAGAGACTTACCCAGCTCTGCCTACCAAGTGCTGGAATTACAAGCATACGCTACCACTGCCCTGGTTTCCTATGGCTTGCTAATAGCTCTGACCCCCGGGCAACTTTATTTATTAACATACAAATAACATTTTAATACAAATAAAATATCACCATAAGTGGGAACTCATGAACTTTAGACCAACAGCTGTGGAGTCTCCATGGGACTGGACTAGGCCCTCTGCATATGGCAGACAGTTGTGTAGCTTGATCTGCTTAAGGGGCCCCCTGGCAGTAGGATCAGGATCTATCCTACCTATGGTAGGACACCTTGCACAGCCTTGATGCAGGGGGAGAGCCTTGGACCTGCCTCAACTGAATGTACCAGGCTCTGCTGACTACCCATGGGAGGCCTTACCTTGTCAGAATAGAGAATGGGGGTGATTTGAGTGGGGGGAGGCTGGGGGTCAGGAGGAGGAAAGAGAGGGGGATATGTGGTTGGTATGTAAAATGAATAAAAAATTTCTTAATAAATAAAAGAAAGAAAATGCAATATAGATTATGAATATTCTAGAATTTATCTTTTATTAAAATTATTTTTTTACTTTATGTGTATGGATATATTTGCCTGAATGTTTACATAAGTAATATGTGTACTTCCTGTAGAGTTCAGAAGACAGCATTAGATCTGATGGAACTGGAGTTATAATCTATTATGCCGTGCTGTGTGGGTTCTGGGAACCAAACTGGGGTCCTCCAGAAGAGGCACCAGTGTTCTTAACTTCTGAACCATCTCTGCAGTATTATTAGAAAACTTTTGTCTTTGAATAATGTCACGCCTCATCTGTATCATGAAAATGTCTTTAATTCCTTAGGTCTCTTTTATTTAGGAAAGCATTTTATCCAGCAGCACATGGTAACTGAGTAATTTTCCTTTACAGGGTCTGTTGACATTCAGGAATGTGGCTGTGGTCTTCTCCCAGGAGGAGTGGGAATGTCTAGATTCTTCTCAAAGGGCTCTGTACACAGACGTAATGTGGGAGAATTACAGCAATCTAGTTTTTGTAGGTAAGAATGCTTTTCTTGTAGAATTCCTGACTCCTCCTTTGTATTTGCCTACTTTGTAGGTATGTAAAACTCTCTGATCTGTCTAGAGGCTACCAGAAATAAGGGAAATTCTGATAACTATAACCATAACCATAACTTTACATTTTCAATGTTCTCTTCACGAACAACCAGTGCTACATACTGTATGATCTCTCCAGTCCTCTCAACTAATTTTTAATCCTAACTTTGAGTTCAAAGAAATTGAATATTCAAAGTAAGGAAATGCATTTCAGTGCACTTAGTTGTTGGATAATTTGATTTTTACTCTTGGATTAAGCTAGTCACCTATTTCAGATTTCAAAAGAATGAAGAGATTTTAAAATAGAGAAAGAGCTGTTGGTGGTGTGCATATTGTTGTTTATTTTTTATTTTTTGAGATATGGTCTTTAGTCCTGGCACAGCATGATTTTAATCCTATCTCTAGGGAGGCTGAAGCAAGTGGATCTGGTGAGTTCTAGGCCAGCCTATGTTACATAGTACGTTCCTAGGCAGTGAAGGCTACACGGTATGATTCTCTCAAAAATACAAATAAGAAAAAAAGAGAAGCATTTTCCATATGATTGTTAAGAGAGCTCTTTTCTCAAAGTACATTATTGCTCCATCCCTCATTTGTTCAACCTTCTGCAAAGTATGAAGATTAGGTAAGTATGAGAAGGCTATTATTGGTCCTTGTGGTTTGATAGAGATCAGAGTGGTGGTTCTTCTGAGCATCCATTTAATGATAGTGAAATACAAAAGGCCTCTGGTAAGAGTTCTGTCCCTAAGAATTGCTAATTTATTTTTCTTAGAGAACTTAAGGATGTATCAGTTATTGGATCTGTTTAATCAAGCATCAATCTTTATTATTCCTAATTATGCTAATTTTCCAGAGAACCATTGCATATGTAAATATGAGAAGGTCTTGGATCAAGGCTCAAAGCATATTGTCCACCAGCATGTGTATATCCAAGAGAAGTCTCACAAATGGTCTGACAAAATGATTCATGAATCCTCCCAATGTATTCCTTATAAAACAAGTGATACCACAGAAAACTGCCAGAATTTCAGAAGTGGTAACCACAGGTATAACTCTGTTGAGTCATCAAACCTGAAGAGACATGGAAGTGGGAACACTGTAGAACAACAATACAAATGTAAAGATTATGGGGAGTGTTTAAATTTGTGTTCCACCATTAGCCAGTATCAAAGAATCCACACTGGAAAGAAAGAACCCAAAAATACAGAATATGATGAAATTCTGGACGTTAAACATGAACTCACATTGAAACAAATCCATAATGGAAAGAAACCATACCAATGCAGGAAATGTGGAAAATGCTTCAGGACCTATTTAATCCTCAGTAGACATCAGAGAACTCATCCTGGAGAGAAACTCTATAAATTTATAGAGTGTAATAAATCCTTTCTACATTTGTCACACCAGAAAGTACACCACAAAATCCATTATGGAAAGAAAACCTATAAATGTACAGAATGTGGCAAGTGCTTTTATCATTCATCAGGTTTTAAAAGACACTATGGAATCCACACTGGAGAGGAGACTTACAAATGTAAAAATTGTAGAAAATCCTTTATCTGTTCCTCAGGTCTTAGAAAACATGAGAAAATTCGTGGAAGAGGGAGGCCTTATAAATGTAAACAGTGTAGTAAGGCATTCTATAAATTGTCACACCTTGAATACCATTACAGAACCCACAGTGGAGAGAAACTTTACAAATGTAATGACTGTGGCAAATTCCTTTCTACCTCCTCAGGTCTTAGAAAACACCAGAGAATTCATACAGGAGAGAAAATTTACAAATGTAGTGAATGTGAGAAATCCTTTACCTTTCGAACATCTCTTAGACTCCATCAAAGGATTCATACTGGAGAGAAACCTTATAAGTGCAATGAATGTGACAAATCCTTTATCCAGAAAGTCAACCTTAGAACACATCAGGCAATTCATACAGGAGAGAAACCTTACAAATGTACTGAATGTGAGAAATCTTTCACTGTTGGCTCAGGTCTTAGAAGACATCAGACAATTCATACTGGAGAGAAACCTTACAAATGTAGCGAATGTGGGAAATTCTTTACCATTGTCTCAGATCTTAGAAATCATCAGAAAATTCATACTGGAGAGAAACCTCACAAATGCAGTGAATGTGACAAATGCTTTATCTGGAAAGCTGATCTTAGAACTCATCAGAAAACCCATACAGGAGAGAAACCTTACAAATGTAGTGAATGTGACAAATCCTTTTCCACTTGCTCAGGTCTTAGAAGACATCAGAAAATTCATACTGGAGAGAAACCTTACAAATGCAGTGAATGTGAGAAATATTTTGTCCAGAAAGCCAACCTTAGAAGACACCAGAGAATTCATACAGGGGAGAAACCTTATAAATGTAGTGAATGTGGGAAATCCTTTAATACTGGGTCATATCTTAGAACACATCAGAAAATTCATACAGGAGAGAAACCTTACAAATGTAGTGAATGTGACAAATATTTTATCCAGAAAGCCAAGCTTAGAATACATCAGAAAATTCATACAGGAGAGAAACCTTACAACTGTAGTGAATGTGACAAATGCTTTATCCAGAAAGGCAATCTTATAACTCATCAGAGAATTCATACAGGAGAGAAACCTTACAAATGTAGTAGATGTGAGAAATCCTTTTCCATTGGCTCAGTTCTTAGAAAACATGAGAAAATTCATACTGGAAGAAACCTTACCAATGCGCTGAATGTGACTAATCCTTTATCCAGGAAGCCAGGCTTAGAACTCATCAAAGAATTCATACAGGAGAGAACCTTATAAAAGCAGTGGATAGAGCAAAGTCTTTGCCAACCTCTCAGGTCTAAGAAAACATAAGAAAATTCAAACTGGAGACCAAAGTTTTCATATTAAATAATGTATAAAGCCTATGCTTTTTATCCAAGCTCTGTCATTATGGGTCACTGCAAGCTCCACCCTAGAGAATCATGAACATGAGAAACTTGTGAAAGCCTTTAAGTAATGCTCAAATCTTAGAAAAATTCAAGACTTTATACTGAGGAAAAATTCTGGAACTGTGACATTGTAGGAAAATTTTTGTTAAAACATTTTACTTTTTCAACCTCAAATACTTCATAATGAAGACAAAATGGAGAAGTCTAAAAATGTGCTGTTGGGTAGCAGTTTTCTGGAGACTGAAGCATTCCATCCTGTGGGGAAGCTGATTAGGACAAGAAATAAGCCATTTAAAAAAAGCTTCAAGAAGTTCCTGAAACTGACAGGATTCACTATGCTTAATCCCATGGAAGAAATTTATACCATTCTTGCTGCTTAGAAGAGGCTTTGACAAATTAAGCCAGTAAGATACAGTCCTCTTTAACATGTAGGTATACCTACAGTGTGTAGTATGCTGTGAGTATCCACAGTTCAAAAACTGTATTTCATGCTGACTTGGAGTTTCATGATGACAACTGTCTTTATGTAACTTTTGCTTTTGTAAGCAGCTCCAGTTCCATATTTATGTGAGTAACCCCAGTAAAGCCCATTGGTTCAACAACATGGATTTCAGTGGCAAGCATACTTGGTTCTGTTTTCAGTTCCCATTTTTGACTAGGTGGGTGCATATGAATGTCATGTCTCTCCAGGAAAAATCTCTCATACCACATGTGTTGAACCCATTAATTGTTCCTCCAAACTTTTACACCAGAAAATCAATGTTAGAACAAAAGCGTTTGAGTCAACTAAAGTAGGGAAGATTGTTTTGCTCACTGCTCTATGCTTACTACTGTAGTAGTACATTGTCCCACTGAAAGGGCTCAACACAGACAGAATGTAGAGGCTTGGGGAGCCTAAGAAAGAAGGTCACTCTCTTCTTTGCATTCAAGGAGGAGAGTGGGAGGTCTGCAGTGGGACAGATGAAAATACAGGTACAAGCTTGTGTTATTGACAGACATCATCCAAACTGAGCTGTTTCCATGCATGAATCTGAAGTCATGTTTAGACTCCATGATTCAGTCAAACTCCAATGACTCTCAGAAGACTGTTGTCCATGGGTAAATACTGAATACCATTGGGCTATCCTTGTATCCTGTTGTACCATTCTATAAGCCTCAGTAAATGAATCAAATGCCTTTTGTTAAATCCTTTACACAATGTTAATAGTGTAGACATATCAGAAAATTCAGCATGAAATAAAACTCAAAGAAATGCCTTAATAAAGACTTATAGTCAGCTTAATTTCATGTGAGCTCATCCATACAAATATCAAGAGACTGTGTAGCATTGAAGAGATGACCTATGAGTAAGAGAAGATGCACATACTCATATACAGCTTAGAAATACCCCCCAAAAAAAGCTGGGCAGTGGTGGCGCACACCTTTAATCCCAGCACTCGGGAGACAGAGCCAGGCAGATCTCTGTAAGTTCGAGGCCAGCCTGGGCTACTGAGTGAGTTCCAGGAAAGGTGCAAAGCTACACAGAGAAACCTTTTCTCGAAAAAACAAAACAAAACAAAAACAAAAACAACAACAAAAAAAGAAATCCCCAAGGGTGTGCTGGAAGATCATTCTGAAGTACTGAAAAAAGATGAAGTATTTAGTTCAATTCCCAAGTATTATATTAGAATATTGATACTAAAAACGTCAAGACTCAGAATTTTTAGACTTCATGTTTCAATGAACAAAACCATACCATTGCATAAGTGTTTCATGGGTTTCAGTACAAAAGGATATTTATTTTCAACTAATGGGGAAATATTGTTTAAGAACATTTTGGTGTTCTCAGTATTGGAGTTTGTTGAAACATGACCTCAGATGGATTGTACAATCTTGAGTAAATTCAGTCTCCTATTGGCAAATGACCATGTAATAATTTGTATTAATTGCTGCTCTGTCGGGGCTGATTAGTCTGAAACAGGATACAATAGAAACTTAGGCTTCTGGCCTGGTCCTTGGCAATTTGGAGAATGCAACCAGCTGGACCTTGGATGCCAATTTTAAGCATTCCATAGATTGAGGCCTCTCGGCTTAGTGACATTAGATGATTATCCTACCTAATTCATCTCAGATTTCCAGTGGTAAATTTGTGAACTTGCACACAATGAAGATATCTCACCTTATACTCCCCACACAATATTATTTTCTTCATTCTATACTTATTTATAACCTCAGTTCTTGTGAATGATAGCAGCAACATGTGGGGAGACTGAGTTGTCCCGGCCAGCGGGACCTTCAGCAGAGACCCTAGAAGGGGGAATGGCGAATGATGGGACAAGAGACACAAAGAATTGACAGCAAGACAGTATTCTGATTAAGCTGCAAAATTTTATTTTTCTCAGGTGGGTTTTATAGTAAGCAGACCAGGAAACTTTCTTTGGGAAAAGATCAGGGGACTGTTGAGTTGCCAAGCAACCCAACCAAGCAACCTAACCACAAAACATTGTTACTAATGGTCACTGTAGCAGAAAGATAAGGAAATGTTGAGTTATTTTCTAATAACACAGGACTTGTTCAGGCATGTCAAAAGTTTCTGGTTAGTGGCTCAATTCTGGACAACAGAAACTTAACTCAGACAGGCAATATGGCATGGCTCTTAAAATTGTCATCGGCACTGAGTAGAACAGGTCCAAGGCAGCCTGCCAACTGGAGCCGTGTCAAAGGTAGCCTGGACAGAGTGGGACAGATGGGTATCAGTGGGCTGGGACAATCATGTGATCCGATGAGTGACGGGAAAATGAAGCAGAGGTTATGTGGGCTTGGAAAATTGAGTATTTGTGCAAGTGCATGGTGAAATCTGCATTATAGGAGCCATGTTACCTCAACCATGGCATGATGGTCTGGAAAACTCAGCCTCACCAGAGGGACCTCTAGGAGCTACATTGTTCAGAACCAAATAGAAGACACAGATGTCATCTCCATATCTTGTACAGACAGGAAAACTCCTTCAGCTGCAGGACACCCTTAGGCATCTGGGAGAATTACTAGTCAGCAGTGTAGTGGGGGAAACTGAAGCCCAGTGGAGCTGCAGGGCTGGGAAACAGACATCACAAACTGCTGAGAGCTATGGGAGTATACAGCAAGTGACAACTAGTGTTTGACAAGTCGACCCACCAGGTGGATAGCTCCCTCATGGGGAGACCCACCGGGCAAAGCCATGAGGTCACTGACTGTGGAAACTGGTTGTTTTCTGTCTGTAACTTTCTTGGGTGCCACTGTTATGCCTCCCTAATAAGAACATCTGTGGGGTGCTTTCCACAGTTCTTTGGTAGTGTGTTTTTACATCTTGGGGCGTACTTACAGTTGAGGATGGTCAGGTTATGATTTCTGTTTAAGCTGTATAATTCTGATGTATAGAAATAATACCAGAATATTCTTCTTTACTGACAGGAAAGTAACAGTATTCTCAGTCTCAAAGACAGCCTTTACACATTTTGCAAAGACCTTAGAACAAGTCAAAAACAGACTAAGCTGCCCCTACAGAGAATATGCAAAGACTAATTTGCAGGTGTTGTTTATTGCTAAATCAAGTAGTCCTTACAGTAGCTCCCTTTCTGCATGTACCCTGACTGCTCAAGTTTCAGTCAATTGTTTAATGTCTGGGACCCCTTACCAGCTTAGAGCTATGTGCACGGTCAATGTGACATTACTAGCCTAAGAGAAACTATGTGACTTATCTTGTGTTTTGAGTATTGGTAGGGCCCAGAAAATGTAACACATAATTGTCCAGAGTTTGGCTGAGAGAGAGCAGCAGTATGGAGAGAGATGGCTGTGTGGAGCTATGTGAGAGCTGCTGCAGAATGTGAGTGAAGTGGGTGCTGAGTGAGAGATGAAGAAGAAGCATGAGAGAAGTGTGCGGGAGTGAGTGGGTGAAAGAGTGAATATAGAGTGAGTGAATAATCTAGAAGTATGTGTGAGAGAGAGCTGTGTGAAAGAGCTGCTGATACATAGAGGAGCTATGCATAGAAACTGTGTAAAGTGCTGTGTGGTGAGAGAACTATGTAAATGAGATGTTTAGCTGTGGCTCTGTGGAGATTTGTAACTGTGGAGGCAAGGAAGATGAAGCTATATAAAAAGATGTAGGAGAGAAATGTATGTAGAAGAAAGATGTGTAGACATGTGTAAACAGATGTAACTGTGTATCGAGATGTGTGGCCATATGTATGTAAAGATAGATATGTAGCTGGATGTACAGAATGTAGCAGTGTGGAGATATGTAGCAATGTGGAGACAGAAAGAGTCAGAGACCATTTGAAGAAGTAAAAGATAAGGTTACCATCAGAAAGCACGTGTGTTTCCTTATTTCACCAGTCATAGATAGATTAAAAATTTGTCCTAATTATCCTCAGATAGAAAAAGTCTAACCCTCACCCCTTTGTGGATTTTCATGCATTATTCTGGAGGTGGCCTTAAAGCAGGCTCTCTATAGGCCCCCTGATAACAAACCTTACCAGGGGTTTGACTAGTTTTTCTGCTGTTGTGCAGGAGGATACTGTTTCTCAAATATTGTTCTGGATATCTACCCATGTCTGTAAAATTTAGATCATATGAACTGGGGCTAATCAGGGTTCTTTTCATTTATATTATGGTTGCCAGCATGGTTACAGAAGAATAATCTGGTAGAAGATTGGTATTATCTCTTGTTTGCAAACAGGTTTATCATGCTATTGTAGCAATTACAAAGCTCCTGGAATTTAAATTCATCCATGCCTTCTAATTCCCCATTCTACCGCTTGCCTATTCAAGAGAGTAGAATTTGTTCCTGGGCCTAGTATCCCAAGAGCTGTTTAAAAATTAGTCCCATGAGGAATCAGTGCAGACTTGATTGAAAATGAAAATATACTTTACCTAGCCCCACAATAATGGTTGAAAACATTAACATTTACTAACCAAATTTTTACTCATTAACTTTCTGAGACATATGCACTGTAGCATGTAAAAATAGCACTCAAAAATGTGTCTTCATAAACCACAGCAATAGCTGACCCAAGCTAATGGGAGCTCATGGACTGACAGCTGGAGAACCTGCTTGGGACTGCACTAGGCCCTCTGAATGTGGGTGACAGTTGCATGGCTTGATGTTTTTGTAAGGCAATGGAACCAGGACTCATCCCAGGTACACAAACTGCCTTTTTAAAGCCCATTCCCTATGGTGCAATGCCTTACTCAGCCATGATGCAGGGAGCAGGGGCTTGGTCCTGCCCCAATTTGATATGTCAGCCTGTGTTGACTACCCTAGGGAGGCCTTACCCAGTATGAGGAGGGGATGGGTGTGAGATAGGGGAGGGAGGGGGCACAGGGGTTGGTATGTAAAAGGAAAAAATATTAAATAAAAAAATTTTAAAATGTGTCTTCATTAAGAAATCATATGATGCATTCTTAATGTCAAACCTTACAGTGTGGAAAAGTGCAGTATGTATGCTGTGGGTGAATAACAGGGCATGCTATTTTTACAGTCATAAAATGCACTATAGATTAGGACAAAATTGGAAAGCATCTTTTAAATAATGTATGAGAAAAATGCTCTAATTGTCTTTTGGTCCAACAAAAAGCAATCTTCCCATGTATG